TTTTATGCATTTCTTCATGAGTTCAAGTTCATATGTGTTTCAATTGTGAAGTGGACATTTAAGATGCTTTTCAGATGCCTCACAGAGAGCCCATTCACCCACTGAGGTCTGTCCAGACAACCGTACCGCTGAAGGTGACAGGATTGGTCAAGAACCCTTACGAAAAATAATTGCAGTACAATGAAGTACAACTGCAGTAAAACTGCAGTTCAAAGCAGTATAACTGCAGTACAATGAAGTACAACTGTAGAATTGCAGTATTAACGAAGTATAACTGCAGTATAGATACAATGTGACTGTAGTACATTGAAGTGCAACTGCAGTAAAACAGCAGTACAAAAAGTAGAACTTCAGAATAGTGAAGTAAAACTGCAGTACAACTGTAGATTTGCAGTATTAACAAAGTATAACTGCAGTATAGATACAATGTGACTGCAGTACAACTGTAGATTTGCCGTATTAACAAAGTATAACGCAGTATAGATATAAATTGACTGCAGTACAACTGTAGATTTGCCGTATTAACGAAGTATAACTGCAGTATAGATATAATGTGACTGCAGTACAACTGTAGTTTTGTAGTATTAACAAAGTATAACTGAAGTATAGATACAATGTGACTGCAGTACAACTGTAGATTTGCAGTATTAATAAAGTAAAACTGCAGTATAGATACAATGTGACTGCAGTACAACTGTAAATTTGCCGTATTAACGAAGTATAACTGCAGTATAGATATAATGCAACTGCAGTAAAACAGCAGTACAAAAAGTACAACTTCAGAATAGTGAAGTAAAACTGCAGTACAACTGTAGATTTGCAGTATAATGAAGTAGTAGCAATAACTTCAGTTCAGTGATACACTTTAAAAAGTGATAGACTTTTTTTGATAGAGAAAACTAATCAATTTTTTTTAATCTTTTTGTTTTTATTGGGCTCTCAGGCAATGATATCAGTTTTGCCATTAAAAAGTGAAATTACTGAACCTAAATAAAGGAGAAAAAAAGACAGATGAAGTTTTTGTTTTTTGCATCTGAAGTCTTGGCCTACCAATATTAAACTGCACTGCAGTTCTGCTGTTTTGTGCGAGACATAGCCCATGTGACCAGAGCTTCCTTCGCGCGCACGCGCCGCGGGCGTTGTCCTGACAACGAGTCTCGAGAGCAGCTGATGCTCATTACTGTCAGTCAGCGTCTTTCCGCGTAGTGTCTGCTCCATAAAATATGGTTTGGTTGATTTCCTCACTGAAATTATCGTTCATATAGGTTCATATTTATGAACTATCACAATTAAAACACAAAGACATGACAGCATTACTCGTGGTGACGACGGTCATTTTAACAAGTGGAATGGAAGAGAAGCGTTTTCTGGAAGAAAAGAAGTTCATTGCGCGAGGCTTTGTCAAGTCATTCAGCTTAGAGGTGAGTAAATTATAACATATAATGTCCTCATATTTCTCTTTTTTTATTTTAGATTGGTGTAAAAAAGACTTTACGTATATGTTGTTCAGCCCGGTGGGAAAATAAGAGGAAACGCCGCTTTTATTATGTAATGTTAGTTTTACCATTCTCCGGTTTAACGTTACACTGTTTAACGTTAGTGTTAACTGCGTCACAGCAGATTGTGTAACTTATGTTTGCCCTTTGCAGAAAATTGTCTATCACTATTAACGCATTTTTTTTAAACTATCTGTATTGTATGAAGTGCTATACACGGTGACTTTACTTGTTTAAATTTAATATCAGGAATATTAGAAATATCAGACACTAACTTACTGGAAAATACAAGCAAATATGTTCAGTAGTTTGACATTGTGTGCAGAAAGGAATTTTTTTTTTTTTTTTAAGTAGGCTAACTTACTTTTTTTGTGTGATTGCTATTTCCAGGAAAATGTACTGGTAACAACTAAAAACAGAAGACGATGGCTGGGGTGAAACAAATATGCACTCACAGACTTTAAAAATTGTGTGTCTCTGCTTTTTTTCAGAAATACATGTTATTGGGCAAATTGTGTAGACTGTCAATGGAGTGACAGAAAGATTTCATCAAAAAGATCTTCAGTTGTGTTCCCCGTGTCTTGCGGGGTTGGAATGACATGAGGGTGAGTAATTTAACTTTTTATCTGGAGTGTTCAAACTCATTATTAATGCTGAACAATAAACCATAAATTAACATAAATAGGATGTAATTCAATAAGATTAAATCTAATATGGATATGTCTAGATATAGAATAACATTTTGCTAAAGAAAACCTCAAAAAGGTTCATTATAGATACAGTAAGATACAGTAAACACCTGTTCACACATAACACACACACAATATGTGCCAAAATGTCAGTTTTGGCGAGTGTCCTCATTAGAGCAGTTTTAAAGGTCCCCTGACATTTTTTTTTATTATTATTTTATAATGTTTCCTGGGTTGCCCTTATGTTAGTATGTTTTTTAGATCAAAAATAGTCATAATTTCAAATGACTCAGAGCCGGTATTGTGCCAATTTTCCACCCTCCGCCAGCGGAGCGCTGATGGGGGCGTTCACATTAACACATGTCACCACTCTTTTGCCATGTTCAATATTCTCCCCAACACTTTTTAAAACATCTTCGCGGCAAGGATGTACCAATACAAAATAATAAAAAACATCTCCAGTTAACTTTCAGACCATTCAATTTGTTCGTTTGTCAAATTAGAGTCCATCTAGCTCTGAAATGTGTTGTTTTTTTAAATCAAGGGCCAATCCCAATTCTACCCCTTACCCCTTTACTTTCCCCTTCCCCTCCGTTTTGCGCGTCCACGTGAAGGGGTAGGGCTGTCCCAATTCTCTTTTGGTTGGAGGGGGAGGGCTAGGGTGAAGGGCCAGATAGCCCTTCAAACGAAGATTTTTCGGGAGCACACTTCAAACGAAGGGGTATGAGAAGTGTCACTGCTAACCCAGCCTGGCTGCCCAAGCGACAAAGGAGACCCATAAATTTAAGTATTTGTGGCTTTAATAAGTATTATAACGACAAATAATGATTTGCTTTATGTTACATTCAATATTGTGTTCATATTTACGGTCAGTTTCTTCACAGAAACGTTTGTAAAAAAAAAAATCGCTAAAATTACTGTAGTTTGCTAACGATAGTCCCGCAACATATTTTCGTCGTCTCCGTTGTTTCCTGCCAACTTCACAAGATGCAAGAAAATAGCTGTAACCCACGCGACAGATAACTGCAGCTGTCGACGGGATCTTGGAAGTTGTGATAAACATCGGCGCATATCCTGTGACGTAGGCGCTAGCGACGACTTATAATGACGTTTAACGGAGGCGTAGTGGTGTCCCATTTCTTAGGGGAATATTTTCACCCCTACGCATTGCCACTCTGTTTGAAGGGTCAAGGGGAAGGCGAAGGGGTAGGGCTAGGGGAAAGGAAAGGGGTAAGGGGTAGAATTGGGATTGGCCCCAAGTGATCACTTTTTGGCAGGTAAAATACTGCATTATAATGGTTGTATTGGCCCTTTACAGGTATTTTAATAGGTCAAAAGTACTGGGTGAGTAATAATCAGTCAGATTTAACCTCATTAATATAAGCAACACATTTCAGGGCAGAAATAACCTTTCAATCAATAAGTGAAGAGTTCAGATGCAAAAGCCTCTAAGTGCCATTTGAAATTTTCTTCTAAAATGATCATTTTTATCAAGCTTGTATATTTAAGTTCAGAAATTTCACTTAAATGGCAATGAAGATTACCTATTAATTGTCATTTAAGTGAAATTACTGAACTTAAATATACAAGCTTGATAAAAATGGTCATTTTAGAAGAAAATTTCAAATGGCATTTAGAGGCTTTTGCATCTGAACTCTTCAAATAGAGGCTTCAATCACTGAAGGTTGGTTGTAATAATGGTTGTACTGGGTGAGTGATGTTTATTTGCACGTTATGTCTGCTTGATCCACATAAAAGCAACTGCATTCGTAAAGTGAATGGGCGATACACCTGTAACACGCGGCGCACGCTCCCGCGGCCGGCCATCAATCTTCGGCGGACCATCACTTTTCGGCTACGAGTCATTTTTAATACAATAAACGTACAAATAAATATTACAGATTAAAAAACGATCGGAAATGTCGTCCAATTTTCTAATACTATTGTTTGATGACAATACATTTGGAAAACAAAATACAGCCATTTCTGATTTTTTCTTTTAAACAAAAAACCAAGTTGCACCCTTTTTTAAATGTCATCTTTCATTCCGAAATAGAATAATGAATGAACGAAAAAGTACACGGGCCATGCGTGTATTTTTTTTTATATATTATATGGGGGGAAATGTGTATAAATATCGGTTTCAGCCAAAATGAGTTTGCAAATATCGGCATATCGAATATCGGCCAAAATCCAATAATTTGCATCCCTACCTAAGTGTCTCACACTGCATTTTCGCTCAAATTGACCTTTTCACTTGCGCATTGCTTGCTTTGTTTATGAGTCGAATTTTCCTTTACAAAGCAGATTGAGTTTGTTTGCAAATGCTGGATTTGTTTGTTTAATTATGGCACAATATTAATTCCATTGAATAACTCCTATTTCAAAAAACAGTGGCGTGTTCCTGCATTAACTTGCAGATTCATTTTAAGCATAATATATGCCTGTGGTGAAGAGTAACTGAAAAGATTGTCTCTGATTATTTTTGTTTGTTTATTACAGACTACTTCCAAAATTGTGTTTCCACATCTGAGATGAAGGCAGTGAAAAGAACGAAGTGGAATAAGAATAAGCTCTTCAAAAAACACAACTTCTCTGAATAATGTGGGGGAAGATGTTTGCATGATTTGTAAATAAACACTTTAAATACATTGTCTAACTCTCAGCCTGTTATTTGAAATAAAATAAAAAGAAAAATCACGTTATTTGTTGCATTGCCGTTTGAGACATTCACTGTTTTGTTCCTTAATTCATTATTGCAGATGTGTGAACTTATTTGGGATATTCTGGTTGTATTCCAATGGTATTGTACAGCATTTTATTTCTATTGCATTTCAGTAGTATTGTACTTTAGTCGAATTATGTATTGCAGTGCTACCGCAGCTATATTGCAGTATTATTGCAGTACTACCGCAGTTATATTGTAGTACTACTGCACTTATATTGCAGATCTACCGCAGTTATATTGCAGTATTATTGTAGTACTACTGCAGTTATATTGCAGTATTACCGCAGTTATATTGCAATATTATTGGAGTACTACTGCAGTTATATTGCAGTATTACCACAGTTATATTGCAGTATTATTGTAATACTACCGCAGTTATATTGCAGTATTATTGTAATACTACCGCAGTTATGTTGCAGTTCTACTGCAGTTGTACTCCAACTACTGTATACTGCAATAATGCAGTTTTTTCGTGTCCAAAAAACTGCATTTTCTACATGCAGTATTACTTCTAAAAAAAACTGCAGTAATTTTTTGTAAGGGAAGGGACAGATTATCGTTATGGGGAAGGTTCCAGGAAAACGTGAGTGTCTTCTTGAAGGAACGACACGCCAACTGAAAGTCCAGATTGACTCTATGAACTTTGCTCACATCACCAGAAGAAAGCCTGAACGCCTCATCCACCTGCTGGACTCATGCTACTTATGCCTGATGAGAACAGGTGTTCTGCTGGTGAACAAAGCCCTCTGAGCTTCTACAGATACAACGTTGCAAAGATACAATTGTTGAATTACACCTAGGATTACAACAAACGTCTTACTGTGTCTGTGACCCCTAAGTGTCTGAAACTGACCCATGGGGGTCAAGGAGGGAATCTGTAAGACTGGAAAACTGGAACTGGTTGATGTAATCAGTGACCAGTGTCTTCTGAAGACAAGAAGACCTTGCTTGAACAACAAACACACACACACACACACACACACACACACTCTTGCAGATGAAACTCACACAAGATGGTTTTAATGTGAATGTAATAATATTTGTGAAGTGTTTGATATCATTTTGAAAGTCTCAGGGTGACTGGTAATAATGTCTCATTTCCAAAGAAGTTAAAGAAAAGGTAATAAGGTTTTTAAGAATATAGAAATATCTTGCACACAAAAGGGTGTGTCTTTGAGTTAATCACCTTCTACCTTTTGTCTGAATGCAAACTCTCCTTCCCCCAGTAAGCATGGTGGGGGGATTTGGTCCATTGTAGTTTGGTGATTGGATCAGGTAAATTTGATGATTAGATCAGGTAAGGTTTGGCTCTATTTAAGGAAAATGCACAAGAGTTCAGGGCTGCTTTCTGTATTCAGACCGGCCGTGATGTTGTGTCTAGGCTCAGCTCATGTAATATGTTGGGTAAAGTTTTTTGATCTTTGAAACATTTAATGGTTTGCTCTGATTATCTTGTGGAATTCTAATACATTTACCTGACGTAATAAATTGTTATATTTGGCTATTCTAACGGACTTTGACTTTATTTTCATTAGAGTTAAAAGGAATAGTCAAGTATTAACTACTAAATGATGCACAGATATCATTGATAAACCCTTTTCATTTTATGGAGTCAGATGAAACGAGTTAATACATAAGATTAAATGTATTGCATTTAATTAAACACTTTGCTTGGAAAAGACGGAACGCGCTTGAGACCTTCACCACGAATCGAACCCCGCTATTTGGATCGATTTCGTGGCCCTTTTTACACAATCTGTATTGGCTTAGTCAAATAAACTCAAGTTTTAAATTTTGTCAATTCAACAAAAGAAGTACAAGTAGATTTTCCCCCATGATTTCATTGAGTACATTCCACATTCTCTTACTATCTGTACCACTATCGACTATTCTCTTCTTAAAATATTCTTTCTTTTTCACTCTATTCATCTTGGTCACTTGATTCCTTAAAATGCAATACAATTTTCTGTCCTTAGGAGAGTCAGAAAGAACCGCAACCTTTTTAGCCTCTTCCCTTTGAGCCATTAAGGTCCTTAACTCACTATCAACCCAAGGAGCACTTTTGGCTTTAACTGTAAATTTCTTCAATGGGGCATGATTGTTAACAACTCTCATAAAACAATCCATAAATAAATTAAGGGATGCATCAACATCATCAATGTTACTTATCAAATTCCATTTAATATTATCCAATTCATTTAGAAAACTCTCTTCATTAAATGCCCTATAAGATCTTGTGTTGAGCACATATTGGGATTATTAGCGTAAATATGATCAATACATTTTGATGTTACAAATCCTGTGTTGTTTCTAGAAATTCTTGTTGGTTGATCCATTAATTGAGATAAACCACATGTGTCTGTCATGGTTTTAAGCTTGTTCTTCAAAGGACAAATATCAGACAGCCAATCAATATTTAGATCACCCAACCAGTATAGCTCTCTTTTTTCCTCAGTCACCTTATCTACCATATTGCATAAACCATTTATATACTCTATCCTTGCACTAGGAGGCCTATAACAACAGCCAAGAATAATAGGTTTTAAATATGGAATATGTACCTGTAACCATAACACTTCCACATCATCAATCATAAAGTCATGTCTCAGTTTCTACATTGGCAAACTTATTAGTGAATTACTCCACGTTTTTATTTCTTTCTATATGGTGAATTACTGCATGATACCTGGATGTTCAGTCAGGCGAAACTAAGATGATTCACATCACAACACAAATGTCTGTGTGCTCGTCTGATTCAGAGATTTCGTCCAGGAGAAATTGCCATTGTTGAAATTCTGCAGCAGACAGACTCTATCTGTGTCCACAGCACACAGCAAGAGCACAGGCACCTGCAGTCTGCCCAGCTCCAGCCAATCCGGGCTCCTCGACCAAGGCAGGCAGCCGCCTCTTGTTCCATAGGATTCGAGCAGCAGAACTTCAAAATCCTCTTCTTCCATATCATGTTTAGTTTCTTCCGTCATTGTCATAACTTCCTATCTCCACAGCGCTTGTTAGCTTAGCTTCCAAACAAGATGGCTGATATTGATTTCAGTATCTGCAAGTGAAGTCCCACCCTCTGATCTGTAATAGGCCTGTAGGGTGAGTGGGTCCCACACCCTGGAATAAAGAGGAGCTAATGTTTGTAGTCTCTACACTTTTCAATGAACTGTGACTTCCTGCTTATGATGATGCAAAATGACGATTTTCACGTAATAATAAGCAGGAAGTAAAACACTTAAATCCTTATTTTGTCCCATAGCAGGGGAAAATAAGGAAATAAACCATGACCATTCAAACATATGACTGGGTTTCTAAAGATACAAAGTTTAATGCAAATGGGTGAAGTGTCCCTTTAATATTTATCCTGAAGATTGTCCAGAGGAGGGTAAAAGGATGTACATGATCTTAGATGATCAGAGTAACGTCTCGCCTGCTTGGGAGGGACATTTAAAACATGTAATATGGACAATGGCCGCCCCAGTTATATGCGCCCTTGTGAGAACCTTGTCAAAATTAAGGAGGATTTCAGTCAGACCTTTCAGCCGAACAACTCTCTACCCTGGCCTCGTTCTCTGGAGCAGAAAGAGGACCTCCTTCGTGCAACAGTCTTCCAAAGGACTGAAAAAGACAATTAGTTAGCTCCCTCAATTGACCATTTGACAAATCCTTTTACCCTCCTCTGGATGATATTCAGGATAAATATTAAAGGGACACTTCACCCATTTGCACCCTACGTTTCCCTTATCCCTCCTATTCTGAGGTCGCCCACCCCCTAACTGCTCTCTTTCTTCCCTTTATGCCTGCTCATTTTTCCCATCTCTGTCCACTCTCAGCCTTTGCCCAGTTATCATAGCCTTGTACAAGGGATTTGTTAAGGATCAAAGTGGCAGCTGGGTGGCACCCTTTCCCTTTCGAAACCCAAGGAAGCTGCTCCCTAACAACAGGCAGCAGGCACACCAATGGCTTATGTAATTGCAGCAAGCTTTCCAGAAGAGACCCAGCATGAAGGAAGACTTCCTGGAGTAAATGCAACAGATTTTTTTCAAACCTGAAGGTGAAGAAGTGGATTACCGGATGAGGGTCCACGTGTTTGTAAATTCGCCATCACCTGCTGTGGCAACCTAAGGGTTGAGGAGAGCAGCACAGGAGGGAGAGAAGAATTTCAGCAGGGATGTCTGTCAATTCATTAAGAAAGACTTCTATGTGGATGACGCCTTGTGGTCCTTTCCAACTGAGGTTGAAGCGGTTGATGTTCTAAAGAGAACCCAAAATCTGCTGGCAGGTTTCAACATAAAGCCCCACAAGATCACATCAAACAAGGTCGATGTTATAAATTCCTTTCCCAAGGAAGATCAAGCCATGGGTATGAAGTCTCTGGACCTTGCAGTTGACGAATTACCCATCCAGCGCAGTCTGGGAGTAGCCAGGGATATGACAAGGGATACATTCACTTTTAACATTCCCAAGCCCCAGAAACCCTTCACAAGCAGAGGGGTGCTCTCAATGATCACCAGCTTGTTTGGGCTTCCTGGCACCTGTGGGGGTTGAGAGCAGGCTCCTTTTATGAATACTAGTCTCTCGAGGTACAAATTGGAACACAACTCTGCCTCCAGAGAAATTTGAGAAGTGACAACGGTGGCAGGACTCGCTGCAAGAGCTAAATGATCTGAACATCTGCCACACCTATGCTATATGTTCACTGATTAGGGCCAAAGGTACAGAGCTATTTGTCTTTTCTGATGGATCGGCAAAATTAATTGCAGCAGTTGCTTACTTAAAGGTGGAAACTGACGAAGGTCGCAAAAAAGTCAGTTTCTGTCACTCTGCAAACCAAACTGGCATATCTGGCAGAGCTTATCTTCCCGAGACTCGAACTCTCTGCAATGCTGGCCACCGAAATTGCGGACCAGATGAGAGAAGAAA